AAATTTCAGTCCTTCGCATTCTACTTTACAGGCTTTTCACAATGTCATCTTTCACTCGGATCTACTGTTAAATTACTCCATTGAGTACGTAGTAATAGTAATGAACATGAAATCCAAGACATGCTTCTCTCCACGACCCTCTCACTAACTGACAGCTTTTCTCATTTCCTTTTCGTCTGTGACCACTTTTCCCCGCCGCACTTCGCCACAAGACGTTGTCTGCGTTGAACACATAGCTCACTGGAGCACAGCAAGACTTCCCAAGTTGGATGCTCTTCATGAGGTTGAACGCGAGCTAACCCCCACTTTTATTCCGTACAAGATTTCAGCTGTATGTTGGTATCGTGGACTTCCAACAAATATAAATATGACTTTCCGCTTCTTGCATAGGCTCTTCATAAACCCCTATTTGAGTCTTCTCGGGATATATGAAATAATGTACTTTTACTTCACCGGCTGATTTTTTGTGCGAAAACCCCGCTTTCATGAGTTTCTTTTAATTTCAGTACTCCTGTTTCTGTTTTAATTACTGTTTCATATTACAATCCGATGTCAAAAGCTATACAACTTTCGTTCGTGCCATCAGAAACATCCGGTCGGCGTCAAGTAGAGGTGTCGCAGCAAACAGATTTCCTACTAGCAATAATTCTACCTCCACCAACTGGCTGCTGAAGCACTGAGGACAATACAAAGCACTGAAACACATCATTGAGGCAGACCTACCTCGGCAAAAAACAGGCCGATCTTGGGCGCTGCTATAAACGTTGCTTAACATCATTCTGAGGCATTATTTCTAAAAGTCAGACATCCCAAATTTGGATTACTCTGCTGTATGAACTCTGTTAGCCTTTGATAACGACGAAAAACAACAACAATCGTAAAGAACACCATTGGATTCAGGCCATTAGTTCTCCAATAATGTTGCAAAAATGAACAAAACACCAAACATATCATTCCTCGTTGATTACATTTTAATTAGGGACTGAAGCATTCTCTTTTCTCTGTGGAATCATTGAACATATCATCCAAGAAGTACATAGCTCAGATAAGCAGAACTGATCTTAATGGATGTCAGATATTTTAGATCAAGTTCTGCTTGACGCAACGATTCCACATCGACTACGCGCACATGACGATGATGGCCATGGTCATGGTTATCATCGCGATTAGATATAGATTATAATAATAATAATGAACATACAGAGGATTACGATAATGGATTTAGTCCATTTTAAGCTACAAACAATAGATAACTGCCTTTTATATAGTAAGCCGCATAGCTTTGACTAGAAATTTCAATCAATGAAAAGCTGCATAATACGTGCATAAGAGACTTGGGATACAAATTTAAATAATGATGTAAACCAAACGAAGGATCTCCCTTCCTTAACAACAAATACATTGATTCTACATTGTAACAGAGACCATTAACTCGTCGAAAACAATGAAAACCCCCGAGAATCGAACCCTTGATTATCAACGTTAAAAGACTGTTTTAAATTCGTGCCATCTTCTAGCCACAGTTCCTACAACAAGCAAAACTGTAGTGCGACTTTAGCAACCACCTATAAAGCAACAAAATTCCATCCTTAGTTCAAAGGATAAACGGCATGTGGTTGCAAAATTTCATGCTTTTTACTTTTCAAGCATGCTGCATTAACTTTCTGCCATACTTTGACCCCATATATGCTAGCACATTGATAGATGTTAGCCAGTCAGTGAGCTTTGATGACATTTTTTCCGTTCGGGTGGCGGAGGCAGATGCGTCAGACAGTGTCTCGAACGTTCTTGATCCTATGTTAGCGGTCGAGCTTCAGCAGAAGATAACCAGAACCTGAGACAGACTCCTTCCAAACACTTTCCTCAGTTTATTCTTCGCCGTCCCAAGGGTTTACGGCCGGTCAGTGGAGCAAGTAGTAGCTGCTTAGCTTCCTTTCTGGAGGCATTCGCAACACATGCCCAAACCATCGCAACTGTGACTTCTCAATCTGGAGAAGCAGCAGCTGTACATCAAGGCTCTCGCTCATGCCCATATTTTGCAGAATGTCCAAACGAGTGAGGTCAGCGACTCGTCTCTAAAAGCCCATTTAAGCCGCTTTTACCCGAGATCGATTTTTCAGTCGTGGTGCATGACCATGGGTAAGCAAGGGGATGAAGATTGACTTGAACACCACCGAGAGCTTGGTTCTCAGCCTCATCTCTGGCTTTGTCACAACGTTTGGCCATAGTTCACTCAGAACGCCACGGGCTACTCCAATTCCCCGGACGATTTCTTCGCCAAATTTTCCATCACCACAAAACACGACCTCATGATACTTGAACTTCTCCAGATGCTCCACTGCTTCTACGTTTATTTTAAGAGAGAAACGAGCAGGATAAAGGGAAAACACTAGGCTTTCGGTTTTAGACAACTCGCATTAGGCTGAGAACCTTTCTGGAGGGATCTATAGATTAATTTCAGATGCTAATAAAACAAGGTCGTCTGCAAAAGGGAACTTTCTCGCCTCATCATCCTATACGCCGATACGCTCGTCGCCTCGCTGTTTCTGACTATTCTATCCATGTAAAACACAAACAGAATAGGGGACAGGACGCAGCCTTAGCGAAGACCAATGTCAATGCTGAAAGGTTTCGACGTAACGCCAATCACTCTGACACAGCATCTGCTATCAGCATATAGTGACTGGATGGCTTGTAGCAACTAGCCACTGATCTCATATGTTAGCAGACACGCCCACAGTTTGCCGCGCGGGATCCGGTCATAGATTTTCTCTACGTCCACAGAGCACATATAAATAGGATGAGCATTATACAGAATGTCAAATAAGATTTTAAATTTTGTAGAAAATTTTACCAATGCAACCAAAATCATAGCATGAGCAGAACAGTTTAACATTAAACAAATGATTCCTCTTACCAGTACTTCCAGATAGTCGTAGTACAGACGATAGAACATGTAACCCCAGAAGAAACCGCTCACGTAGTACTTGGACCAAAACTTGTCCCACCAAATAAAGTGGCGTCTTCCTTCGCGGTACGTCCACCTATAAATTTGATTAATGAACATGCATTTAGTTTAATTGCCTTTGCCCGGCTGCCTACTCAGGTAGATCCGAACGCACCGGGGTGATCATCTGATGAAGAATCGGATCTTCGCGAGGCGCGTTTCCAACTTGGCCCTTAAACGGCCGCGGCTTGATCTTTTCCGGATCCACATATATTTCTTCGCTGAGCAGTCGATTAACTTGCAAACTCACCGGTCCCCTGCTGTAAAGAAGAGGACGTCTAAAGGCAGCAAGCATGTCGCTATACCATACAGTACTCTCAGCATATAAAACGATTCACAAGATGAATACACTACTATAGGGCAAAAAAAGCAGCATGCGGATATGGCACTTTCTTTCCTATTCTTTCGTTAGCTATTCTACATAGATGGGATAAATTAATTCGTTATTTAAAAAATTGTCAACCATCATCAGAGAACAATTTTAAAATTGTTTGCGATTTGCGCCTTTTGCTGATATACCGTCAGTAGTCAGTTGGGGAAACGTGAATTATGTACAGAAGGCGAACTTACTAGAGAAAATGGCCGCTTGTCTCACGTGTACTAGTATGACAATGCCAGATCACTATGATGTACTAACTGCTTATGGGTCAACGACTTGCTGCCCGTTTCTTAGCTGGATACGTCGATTCACCATGCGGTAAATTTGCTGTTGCTTCAGGGATCCAACAATAAATAACAAAGTTTTACACCGTATTGAAATCTGAGCTCGGTACTTTTAAGATGTAAAATACATGCAAATTGAAGCAATACATTTGAACTTCTTGAAGAATAAGCACCGTAATTGTTGCCATGAGCTTATTTCCTTCATTTTAAGTAGGCCTGCATTTAATTGTACAATTTCTTTTCAGATGGGCACATATTTAAATATGTTATATATGAACACACATATTTGAATAGTTCTCATGGACAGTTTTAAGATATTTGGCAATTTCAACCAATGATATGAGATTGAGAAATCGCGTATCAGAGCATGACGTTGCGCTCATGATCACAATTCTCTGAAACCGAACTTCACTGATGTTTGATGCCACCATACGATACCACGTATGATCCACGCATGACACCAACTCTTTAATCGCAAATGCTTAAGGACCATTTATGCAGGCCACAGCCCGCGAATCATATAATGTCATGGCCTCCGAAAGATCACTGCTGATGATACAGGTATTAATTGAGCTAGTACGATGCAAGATACCTGATGATGCAAGATAACTTTTAGTACTGTAGGTTCTACAGTAACATTGAGTCGCTGGCCTGTTTGTATGATATTTCAGGCGTTTTTGATGAATAAAGAAAGCGGTGACATATTCAATAACACTGCTTTAGCGCGAAGCACGCGCGTTGTGTGCCTCAGCCATGTTGTTGCTGGCTGCACATTTTCTTGCCAATGCATGCTACAGCAACTTCGATTTTCTTGTCATTAGTTCTCACTGCTATCTTCCCTGTTCAGGGCAAGGCATGAATTAAAGCAAATCTTTGGTCCAGGTTTCATCTTCGTCCTAGCCTCTGCTGATTACTTTCCTAGTTGTTAACTCACTCCTGACATGAATATTCCTAGACATTAATATTTAAGAATTTTCTTGGTCTAAAGCCAGTTGGCGTCTGCAAGCATTTTCGCTGAATCATGGAATGCAAGGCCAAAGTGAGTGTTTTTGAAAAATAGTGATAAGTTAGAGTAGTTTGCATTGATCAAGGGAAGTATTAAAACTCACATGTTATACCATAATTTCGTTGATCAGTCATTCGGGCAGTAAGCAAGCGTTTTAGGCAAAAATATACTACTACTACTCCCTACTCTCCATAAGTACCAAACGCGAAACAGCGTTGCAATTTGAGTTACACCGACATCTACAGTCTTAATGGAAGTGAACTGCTCCAAAGGTCCCGCTGGTAGCACGACCTCCGCCTCGCTCTTCACTCTCTCATAACAACTTCTTTTCACGGCAGTTAGTCGCACAAGGGAATCCGACATCGGAGGAGGATTTGTTCATTGGCCAATAAAATGCCTTATCGCTGCCACATAATCAACTGGTAGTGAATCATTCAGGCAAAAGTGAAAGAATTAGAACTATCACCTTTCAAGGTCTACCGGCAGTCAGAAGAACAGGCTATTA